TGACTTGGCAGAGGAGTATGAAGGAGATCACGAAACGCTTGGGTGCTGTCGGTGCTACTCGCCTTCCAGGATGGGGACCGTGTGATCCTCACTGTGTCTGGTTGGAGACACTACAATATATGGCTGCCAACCGATGTCAGTGGCGTTCTTGTTGTCAGTTTCTGTCCAGAATGCCTGAGTGAATGTCTGGACGTGTAGGCACCTCGGAATGATTGTGTTAAGCTAGCACTAAGTCCCTCCCCCATCCACCTTTATTCTTTTCTTTACAATAAGGTTTTCAAATAAGTCATGGTTGTACGGCAGTGAAACATCGGTGTTGAACACTGATGTCATGCTGTCGATGATGATGATGATGATGATGATGGTTAAGCACACGCAACACATGTGCCAACCAACGCAGCTTCTGGTGCTGAACACATACTTCAATGGAGGTACCCGTCGCACAACCGAAAACACGCTTTCTAACTGCCGCGTTACGGATACGCCGACACTAACCCTCACGAGCTATTGTTCTGGGACAACGATTGTCGAACACCTGAAGACGCCTCAGTTCCGCCGTCGGAACAGGCCAAGTCTGACAGTCATACAGCGAAACATCCCGCACTGTAGCTCGATACACACTTCCATTGAGATGCAGAGATAGACCACTTTGACGCCATAGGTGTCTCAAATTAGCAAACGCGACCCGGGGACTTGTAGATTCGTGCATTGACCTCATCCGTCACACTACGATCAGAACTAATAAAAATCCCAAGACGGGTAAAACGCTCAACTTCCAGCGACTCTCTCTAGATTGTAAGTGATATGTTCAGTGACTGCATATCCACGAGCATGACCTTAAACTTTGTGGGTGCAGAGTGCATACCAAAGAACGGGATTACTTTGGCCAGTTCATTCAAAAACACGTGCCTCTTCTCTTCCTCTTCGTAGACGAGGATGATATCCTTTGGATATTCCAGATCGACAAGGTTTTCGTCACACGCTATTTGAAGACCGGGGTTTTGGAGACCTTCCAGCATTTGTCTCATGATTTAATCGATCATGAAGGTAAATAGGAATGGAGAAAGTAGGCGATTGTGTTAAGCTAGCACTAAGTCCCTCCCCCATCCACCTTTATTCTTTTCTTTACAATAAGGTTTTCAAATAAGTCATGGTTGTACGGCAGTGAAACATCGGTGTTGAACACTGATGTCATGCTGTCGATGATGATGATGATGATGATGATGGTTAAGCACACGCAACACATGTGCCAACCAACGCAGCTTCTGGTGCTGAACACATACTTCAATGGAGGTACCCGTCGCACAACCGAAAACACGCTTTCTAACTGCCGCGTTACGGATACGCCGACACTAACCCTCACGAGCTATTGTTTGTTCTGGGAGATTGTCGAACACCTGAAGACGCCTCAGTTCCGCCGTCGGAACAGGCCAAGTCTGACAGTCATACAGCGAAACATCCCGCACTGTAGCTCGATACACACTTCCATTGAGATGCAGAGATAGACCACTTTGACGCCATAGGTGTCTCAAATTAGCAAACGCGACCCGGGGACTTGTAGATTCGTGCATTGACCTCATCCGTCACACTACGATCAGAACTAATAAAAATCCCAAGACGGGTAAAACGCTCAACTTCCAGCGACTCTCTCTAGATTGTAAGTGATATGTTCAGTGACTGCATATCCACGAGCATGACCTTAAACTTTGTGGGTGCAGAGTGCATACCAAAGAACGGGATTACTTTGGCCAGTTCATTCAAAAACACGTGCCTCTTCTCTTCCTCTTCGTAGACGAGGATGATATCCTTTGGATATTCCAGATCGACAAGGTTTTCGTCACACGCTATTTGAAGACCGGGGTTTTGGAGACCTTCCAGCATTTGTCTCATGATTTAATCGATCATGAAGGTAAATAGGAATGGAGAAAGTAGGCGTCTCTAACTCACACTGCTGTACGAAAGCTTTTGCAGAGCTCACCGTATACTCTTACGCGTACGGAAGTCCGAGAACACTAAAGGTTTGTTATGTTCATAAACTCCAGGGGCAAGCAAGAAGAACAGACTTGTCAGCCGAGTCGAATGCGCCTTAAAAATCCAAGAATGCTAGGATTGTGGGTCGCTTATAAGTACACGTACTAAAACCTAATGGGGTGTGAAAACTTGGTCAAAGTAACTCCTACCAGGGCGGAATCCCGCTGACTGCTCTTGAGCCAGTGTCTCACGATCCACCGTAAGTCGATGAAGCAGAGGTGACGCCAACAGTCAAGCTGATCCCCCTTTGGTTACCACACTCACCAGGAACCCCTTTTTTGAAAATGAGCACTACCACCGACTCCCTCCGGCTGTCTGGGAGACACCTTTTCACAAATGCAAGCAAACAGATCAGACAAGCGCTTACTGAGGACTTCATCCCCATCTTTGAACAACGCGTGTAGGTCACTCGGGCCAGAAGCTGAGGCACTTGAGAGAATACATCCAGCAATAAACCTCCGAGACCGTAGGTGGTTACACGTTCACCGTTCAGGGTTGTACGTCAACTACTGGCTCCAGATGAGTGGCAGCTGTGGCCACGACAGTTGTTTGAAGTAATCGGCCGACCGGTCGATGCGTTCCACTTTATTTAAAATGGTTTTTCCTTTCCCATCTTCGATGGTTTGTGATTTCTGGAGACCGGCCGAACAGATCAACTAAAATAATCTCCGGGGATTGCCGGCTTTTTGGGCCTCTTCCATTTCCTTGGCTTTCTGTGTTCACCACTGCTTCACGGCAGTGAAGCATCAGTGCCAACACGGATGTTGCTGTCTTTGGTTATGGTGATGTGCCCATCACACTTAACCGTCGGCGCGCACGCTCAATTTCACTTGACGTCTGATACTTCGTCACGCTAAGCTATGTTCGAGACCGGCTGATATACTTCTCCGAGATTTAAGCAGAGATCGCGCAGTGGTTAGAGGGCGAATTAGCTGACCAGGTGGCATGGCAGCTAGGCACCTAAAGGGTTTTACAGCTGAACGACGACAGGCAAATTTCCAGCACTTTACGAAGAGGTGGCAATCTCGTATCAGTGTGAATTCACATCTGATGGTAAAGCATTTGGAAGACTGAAGGAGTCGATTCTGGCAAATTCGTCTAACGTCAAGATTCGCCAGTCTCCCAGTTGTCGTGATTTGTCAGCACCCTAAGCGTCCCAAGAAAACGTAAGGAGAAGTGACTCCGGACGAGCACGTGGTCGGAATCCACAAATGAGTTCCAAAACGACCGGAAGTCATCCATTGATCCGTGCCATCCGGCGAGATGGCTCAAGTGGCCAGAGTGCGAACTTACTGACCGGTAGGTCGAACCCGACCTCTGCCTTTCGACTTCCCCTGTCTAGGGTTGGGCAAGAGAGAGGTGAGTCAGTGTTTGTTTGGTTTCCACAGAGGAATTGGTTATGAGCAGCTAAACCAAAGGTCGCACGCCGTTGGCAGGAACATGTCTAAGGCGAAAACAGAGGAGTCAGACGTAATGCTGCTGCGAAAGGAAGTGTTTTCCTGCTCGCTGTTGAATTGAGTAAGCCCATAAACTAAAGATGTCCTCCGACAGATCGTTCCAGGTCTCATATATTCAGTGCCCACTGAACAGAATATTAGTAGATCAGGTAGCAAAGGTGGTCATGAAGTTGTTCTTTGAGCTGGAGACCTTAGTGCCAACGTCTAATTACCATTTGAGATGACATCATTAGTGTTGTGGATAGAAGGGCCACCAGTGGTTAGAGCGCGAATTTACTGACCGAAGGGTCCGTGGTTCGAACCCCACAGCTGCCTCTCGACTTCCCCTGTCTAGGCTTGGGCGACCTGGTAGTATCCCAGCCCCCGTGCTTCCTTCGGGTGGCATGGCACCGAAAGGGTTCTACAGCTGAACGATTATCTATTATTTTTTATGATAAACTTGGTTCTCCAACGTTTGTCAGCAGCGAACTTTGATGATCGAATTCTTCATGATAGGTTTTATAAAAACATCGTGAATCCACTGAAAAAATTAGCGTTGAGAGACAACTCTCCTAAAACTTACATGGACCAAAGAGGTGCGATTACAGTTTCTACAAAAAACTATTGCTTGGCTGATTTGTCTCCTATCTGTCAAGCGTCACGATCTATCCTTGGTAGACGTTTGAACGCTGAGGGAACGGGCGGATAGTAAACAATTTCGGTGTAATCCGCGAACCTATCAACCTGACATTTGAATAGGAAAGATAGCTTCGTATCAAAATTTAATATTCATTTGTGGCCTGAAACCAAAGCTACCCAGAGTCAGTGTCATCGCATGTGGCGGATTAATTGCCAGACGAATGTATTGTTCAGGGTTTTGCCAGCAAAGTTCATACGTGCGTCATACAAGCACCCAACAGCAGGGCTGTAGACTGCACCTTACCGAAAATCGGTGTCTGAAGCCATTTTTAAGAGGCTCATATATCGATCAGTCTTTTTCCAGAAGGCTGAAATCTCAGTAGGCATGCTGGCTAACCTAGAATGTGGTACATCCAGCGGCTCGTTTGTCCACAATCGTCATGTTAGCCTGATGGCGCAGAGCACACCTGAAGCTAGAGTGGGGAGATGAGGGCACTTGAATAACAACCACCGAAGTATATTGTCAACAAGCTTTGCTTTAGGGAAAGTGACCTACTGTGGCTATCCACGAGGACCAGTCAGAGGACATGTATAGACTGGGATCCAGTCATGATTCCATCCACGGACACCGTATGCTAACTTAAGACCGAAACCCTTCGATTCAATCTTGATGTGCCGTCAATGATTGTCGGCTGACCCTCAAGAGTGTAGTATGACCTTAGGCACGACGAAGGAGCCGGTATGTATGGCTAACGTCATCATGGTGACGAGTTGCGGTGCTAGATTTGTGACAGCAGTAAGGTCTGATCTCGACGGTTTGGACAGAACTCTAAAAGCTGGGATGCATAGCTGCTTCCAACTTTTTGTAATCAACCCTCACCAGTCTTCGGCATCTGTGTTCGTTTTCGAAAGCCTTCATTAACTGAGGCTCTCCATTGGAAACTGAGAATCTCAGGATGAAAATGAGGCGAACACAAGAATATCCCTAAGTCACCGGTATTCGTATTCATCCTAACAAGACCTGGAATGTACACACGACACTGTTTACAATTTTTTGATAAAAAGCAGCCAGCGCAAGCAGCACTTGAAAGGTCATCAACTGATCGGAGTGCTCTTTGCGTTCACAAAGTGCAAAGTCTTGATCTAGTATATACAGCCTCTGAATACGCCTGAGAGTTCACGGGGTCTAGAATGGGAATCGAGAAATAGGGACGCCGATGAAAACCTGCTGCGATTATATGCAGACCAGACTCCGTGCAGCACTAACATCTGGAACCACCGGAGCCGCGTGGCCACATGGTATCCTCCACATGCAATTCAACCTTCAATACTGATAGACCACATCACCAGAAGCTATAGGTGGGGGAGTCAATTACTGACTGCCGGTCGCTCTGGAACAACTATGTGGATTAGGATCTCGTTTCTGCGTCTCGTAGCGGTTTTCATAGACACGCGATATGTAAATATTTACCTGACCGCTGAGAAGCCCTAGGTTTATAATATGCAACAAGTCTACGAGAGGAAGCTGCTGAATCCC